TTCCTGCTGCAATCCTGAAATCTGAAGTGTTAGTAATGAAAGAGTCCCCAGAACAAGGGTATGGAGCAAAAGCCCACGGAAGTCAGGTAGCAGAGTCATGTGGAGGGATGTGAGCATTTGGGAAGATATGACCAGCAGAAACCAGGCCAGGTAAAGGTGCTACAGGTAGGAGTAAAGGTTCAGTGTTCAGCGATTCCTCTCTCTCAAGCAAAACCAGCAATCTGGAGTTTGCAGTGAACTCTTCTGATTTTAAAATATCAAATGGTGGCAGAGTATGTTTTTATTTGGGGCAGCAAGGTGCCTAGTCCCTAAGAATATCCCATCTTCCATCCAGTTCTGGCCACAGAGAAGTTAAAGGGAAAGCTGTGCTATGGGGACTTCTGGAGAAGTTTTTCCTTCCTGATTAAAGGAATGCTATCTATCTCTGTTCCAGGCTTCCTGCCAGGGAACTGGAAGTGAGCACCATGCTTAGAGCTGCATCAGATGTCTTGTAACCACAGGTGACAGGTTCCTGAAGTAAAAGGGCAGTGGGGTGGAAACAGGGACATCAGGGAGCTAATGTGCAGCCTAAGAGCATCCAGCTTCAGGCTTCTTGGTCAGGGCGTTAGGTAAATAAATATATAACTTAAAATACTGTCAATCAGATATTCTGTTACTTATAGCCAAATATAATCTACCTGATATCAGCAACTAATTCAACAATTTTTAAAACACGGAGCCAATTCTTCTGGCTTAGGAGTGGTTACCAGCTGCTCATCTTCAAACTGCTTCATGGTTTATGCAGTGTGACTTATTCTTCTCTGTAGGCCAGTGCATACGGTAGACAGGTGGGGTGGGTTTGACTGTAGATCCCAGGACCAGGATAGGCAGCCCAGAACCCAGAACACACCCCTGACAGTAGGCTAGCAGCTGAGGGATGCACGTCTTTGTCCACTAGGCCAGCCACACTGCGGCATCCAAGGGTTTTGGAGAGGCCTCTCCATGCCTGTCCTTTGTGGGTCTCTTTCTGGTCAAGGAGAGCTGCATTTGAAATAAGACAGGCAGGGAAGAACACAACTACCAGAAAATAAAAAGCAAATCTAGAAAAAAATGACAATTACCTAAATAACTGAATAAATCACAGATTGCCTCAGAACACTGCAAAGGTCACCCAGTGACATAAAAGTTACCAGTGCTCCACCAGGCAGGCAGACCTTGGTATTTTGAGGGACATGGTCAATGTTCTGGAAGTCACCAAGATCTTAAAAAGGGGACAAATGAATCCCTTTTGAAATGTCCAAACGGGAACAACTTCTTATATCTGACTCTTACATCTGCACATCCCAAACCACATGCACAATGAAACGCAGGTCTTAAAACCTGTGGGATGTACCTGGGTTCAAGAGTCCGCTTTGCCACATCTCAGAATAAGAGGATATGGGTGTGGTCAGCTGGGCAACATCCAAACTTTCCAAAGCCCAGAGAAAGTGTGTGAAGGAGTTGAGGAAATAGTGAGGAGGTACCCCTACTCCACCCACTGCAAACTCTTTACTCTCTCAGCTCTCTCTGCATCAAGCACTAAGTCCAGGGCAAATTCATGGACAGTTCCTGTCCACCACTTTGTTGTGGCAAGGGCTACAAAGCCCCAGGGCAAGCATCTCTAAGAGGGCCTGCTCACAGCCCTGGCTCAGGAGCATTATCATACCAATGAGGGACGGCTCAGAGCCCTGTCATGAAACTGACTCATAAACACATTAGGCATGAGGCCAAGTCAGGCAGACATTCCTAGAAATGCCTTTTCCAAGAAAAGCCAGGAGACAGGGTGTTTGCTACTGCTTTGGTGTACTCCAAGGAGTGGGGGATTATTTCCAGGGAAGCTAATGACATAAGCCTAAGCTCTGGTCATTAAACTCCCTCCTCCACAGTGGGAAATACCCGCGACTCTGGTCCTGATATTGCTCAATCCTCCAATGTGAAGCAGAAGCACAATCTGAAGCACCATCCCACCACAAGCTGTTTCAATGAACATAGCTTCCCTATTCCTGCTCTTCATTTTGCTTCTCATTTTGTACCTTTACTTCCATACAAAGACATGTGGAATAAGTTCTGTCCTGGGAAAGCCAACTGGACTAATCCAGAAAGAAAGTGCAACCTACACGTGTGTTACAAACTCACCTGATAATGCCTGCTGCTGCTGAGAACCTTAAGGGAACACCCTGGGTCAGGCAGAAGGGCACTTCAGATGAGATGTCCTCCTTAGGGGCTCAGCCAACAGCTCAACAGCTCTGCGACGGACCCTCTTCCTCTTCTTCCTTCTTAGTTTGTGCTAGGCTTCCTCACAGACCAGCGCATCCCCAACCCTCCCTCTCTCCATCTAGAGGCCCAGAACCAGGACTAGACAGGTTTTGACCTTCGGAGAGCCCACAGAAAAGATGGTGTGTGGATCGAGCAAAGCCATACCACGCAGTGCTCATTTTTTGAGGCTGAACAATTTCTTCTTACTTGAAGACCACAGGGCTTGGTGGCTATGATCCCCACTGGGGGAAATGAGGCAGTCCTGTCCTGTTGATAAGGACTCTGACTGCATGAGCCCAGGGATCTGGCCAAGTGCCCTGAAGGGCAGCTGGGTTTACCCCCAGCCAGCCATACTGACAGCATGTCACAAGAATCAGGATACTTTTCTCTCCCCTCAACAGAGTATAAATACGTGTGTGTTTATACATGTATGCATGAAAGCAAAGGAGAAAAATTCAGAAAAGGCAAGCATCCTTAGATTTTGTTTTCTCTCAGAAAAGAATGATTGAAAAAAACAAATGGTTGAAGTGTTCTATCTGGCCCCAGGCTCTGGAAAGTAGGCTCAGATCAGAGAGCTGCTTTCTCTTGGGGCAAAATCAGTCCAGGCCCCCCAGTCCTGTCTGGTGCCCTCCAGCCAGAACACTGACTGTGAAGCCCTCACCCCACCCAGAAGCAAGTAAGAAGGAATGTTCTTCACCTTTACAGACACTGGTAGGGCTGTTTTATTAGGTCACAGCATTAAACACATAAAACTCACATTTATACTAGTGATTCTCCAACTTTTCTATTTCCTGCACTGTCAACATTTTTTAAAAATTGGGAATGTGTGTGCCATACTTTTCTTTTTAAATTATTTTCATTACATAAGTTTCAGGTATACATTATAATTTGACATCTGCATACATTACACAGTGATCACCCCCAAAATCTAGTTTCTATCCATCACCATATAATTAAGCCCTTCCTCCCCCTCTTTCACCCATCCCCAACATTCTAAACCTCTGGTAACCACTGATCTATTCTCTGTATGTATGAGTTTGTTTTGGTTTTGTTCGTTCGTTCGTTCATTGTGTTTATTGGCTTTTTAGATTCCACATGAGTGAAATCATCTGGCATTTGTTTTTCTCTTTCTAACATGTCACTTAGCATTATGCATTCAAAGTCCATCTACGTGTCACAAGTGGCAAGATTCATTTTTTTTTTTTATGGCCGAGTAATATTTTATTGTATACATGTACCACATCTTCCTTATCCATTCATCCATTGATAGACACTTAATGTTGTTTCTATATCTTGGCTATTGCAAATAATGCTGCAATAAACATTGAGGTGCATTTACCTTTTGAATTAGTGTCTTCGTATCTTTTGATAAATACCCAGAAGTTGAAATAGCTGGATCACATAGTTGTTTTATTCTTAATTTTCTGAAGAATTGCTATACTATTTCCATAGTGGCTGCTTCAATTTATAATCTCACCAACAGTGTGCAAGCGTTCCCTTTCCTCTACATCCTCCTCAGCATTTGCTATTTATTTTCTTTTTGATAACAGCCATTCTAACAGGTGTGAGGTGATATCTCACTGTGGTTTTGATTTGCATTTCCTAATAATTAGTGATGATGAACATCTTTTCATGTACCTGATGGCCATCTGTATGTCTTCTTTGGAAAGATGTCTATTCAGATCCTCTGCTCATTTTTCAATCAGGTTGTTTGTACCTTACTTTTCATTTTGGCAGATAAGGTTATTTAAAAAACAAACTAAAACTAACAAACAAACAAACAAAAAAAACCCAAAAAAACCCTCTCTACCATCTACAACATCATTTCAGAGAGAATAGTTCAACACTAAAAAAACTTAGGAAGACATACGCTAAAACTAAAAATAGTGAGTTTTTTAAGTTAAATAAGGGAAGTTTTATGAAAAAAAACACATTTTCCATGGACTGCAAAGTCCTTAGGAGTCCTGTGTGAGCACATATGGGTGTTCTCATGTGTGTATGCACATGTATGTGCACCTCTAGAAGGGCCACTAAGGACTACCTAGCTCTGATCTTGCAAAATTGCTTTTTAAATAATGAAAATAGAGAAAAATAGAAATAAGAGCAAAGGAGACATCAGCTAAACTAAAGAAATATACACAAAAAGATAGGGAGGTGGAATAAGGCAAGGAAGTTTTAATGACATTTTAAATATAAATTCTCTGTATTGCTAATGACTCTTCTCCTCACTGAAAAATCTCAAGAAATTTAGAGATCTGCTCAATTCTCTAACCACAGAATGTCAAAAAGGCTCTACTGTAACAATGTAATACTATTGACTTCACAGCACAGACCAAATTCCCCTGGACTTGATAGAAGATTAAAAAAGATAACTACATTCTTAATGATGTCTAAATACAAAACACCAATTTAATAAATGTTAAAATAAGAAGAAATAAAAGAAGCTACTATACATCTAACTATCCACTCTCAAAATACATTAATACTCCTTACCTGAATAGACAGAAAATATAATCTTATTTTTGGAAATGCTTAGTATTCATAAAAAACACTTTTACTTATCTCACTTGGTACTATAAAAATTGTGATAGGTATTTTACAGTGAGAGAAGTAAGTTAAATAACTTGCCTAAGAAAGCATAGAAAGAAAGCAAATGTAAATATTTCCAAAGCCTTAATTCACCAAACCACCCTACACTAGCCACTTGGGAGAACATGTAGTGTGTGCACTTGATACAAATTCTAGGATGCCTCTAATTGTGACAAATCATGCAAAATGCAGCAGCCTGGGTCTGGGGGGTTATTACAACTATGAGAACTTGAACTTTCACATTTCCTGACTTTGCAAGGCAAGGTGGTAGGGGGAACTGAGCTAAAATTTTAATGCGTTAAAATTACCTCAAACCAGGTTTATGCATATTAAGTTCCTGGAAGATAAGATGGGGGTATTTGTAAGCATAAGGCCAAGAAAGAAAACCGACCTTTCTGGGGAGTTTGCAGCAACTGAATGCCAAGTGAAAGCAGTCTCAAAAGGTCATAAACCTCTAACTAAGCATAATTAGCAAGAAGAATTCCTGTTGGTATAGAAATTTGTGGGTAAAGATTTAGGATATAAAATCTCAAAATCCAAAGCTGGAAATAATTTTAAAAATCTGTAAGTTTAAAACACAAGCAATACAGTTTTCTGAAATTTATTTTGTCATTAAATGTAGGAATTCTTAGGCATCAGGAATTACAAGTGCCTAGACTAAAGAACTACTAGTTCTAATTTGGTTACCCAGAGTATATATTCCAAGTGATAGGCATGATTCCTCTCACTTTGTTAAGCAGAGCATTAAGAGTATTTATCTCCTGGCCACCCACTTTGGTTGATGATACAGAAGTGAAGGTTCATTTCAGTCTTCATAGGCTCCTAATATTTGCAGGCTACCCAAAGTGTGGTAGGTCACATAAAGAGTCAGTGTTCTGCATGCCAACATTAAGTTAATAGTCTGATTATATCATGAAAGCATATTTGCTGTTCGAAGGCATGCTATGTTTTTCAGTGAAATATTTGTAAAAGGTAAAGAGAAACTCAAGCTATTTCACGAGTTATCTCTTAACATACAAAGTACACTCAAAATTCAAACTTAACTTCATAATTTCCATATAACTTAGTACAGCAAGAAATATTTATAGAATCATGGACATTTACATGCTCAAAGCCCTACTTACACATAAGCTTTGCTATTACTAAGGGATTAAAACTAAGTTCCCCAAAGAAGGACCTATACTCATAACTAAAACAGTAGAATGTCAGTTTTTCTGTCTTTCAATGAGTTATGATCTTGACTTTCTTTTTCAACTGAAACAGAGATCATACTATTGTAGGACTTGACTCGAAAGAGCATCGATGGTGCATTCTCCACATAGTCCTATCATTAGACCCAAACATAAATGCTGTAATAATTAACTATTGGAAACTGGTTTCCCACACTTACGCTTTCATCCAGGTACAAGGAAAGGGTTAAAAAGGCAAACCATACATTTTAACAAAATCATTGTACATATTTTGGACAGATGAGAACTAATTCAAATCTTATGAGTTAGTCCTCTGGCCCCAAGGTAACTGTGTTTGGGCTAATTTTGCCAGAAGATTTGAACTGATCCACGAGACTGGAACTCAGAGAAGCGGCTGTTGCATTCTCTGTCACTCTGGTTTTTCCACGTAAGCACATCTTCCAAGTAAATGAAGCAGGCTTCCTGAGCATCAAAACTTATTTTCAACTACCTTTTCTATAACTCTCAAGATATAGTAATATACTTTTATTTTGAGTAGAGTAAAATTATACTCTTATTTTTGAAAGTACTTAGAGTTCATAGAGAATATTTTCACACACATGATCTCATCTCCAAAATTGTGAAGGCAGGCCTTTTTCAGATGAAAGACTTGAAGTTTAGATGGGTTAAAATGACTTGCCTAAAGTAGATGAAACTGGTTTTATATTTGAGATATCTAATTCTAGGTCTACTGCTTACTTGTCCATATAACGCAGGACCACTCAATCAATGCCCAGTCTTCACTTGGTAAGTCAGGGTTATTGTCCTGGTAAGTGCAGTGCTTGGCTCCTAACAAAGCTGAGAAGCCCTGGGGGCAGCTCAGGTACAGGTGGTCATCTACCTTGACAACAAATATCCAAAATGTATTACAGTTTGATTATTCCAAAGAGTCAAATTTCCAATCAGGTATTGATATATTCAGTGTTAGAATCTCAGTTTGAGATAACGGCAAAGCAACCAGTCTAAAAATAGCCATCAAAACACAAGCAGAAGATTGCTGTGGTCTTCAGAGAAAGGCAGTGGCTCACTTCCTTCCGTACACACCATGCCCTTCCAACCACTTCTGTTTCTTGACACGACTAGTAACCAAGGAAGTTCTCTAATGCTCTTCCCCTCCTTCCAGACCTAAGCTACTACTGTTTTCCTATTGATCTCAGAAAAATCCTTCTTCTACCACCCTCAATATTAAAGTCTGACTTTTCCTGTGAAATATAGAGAGTTAGCATGGAAACACAAGCCCTGGGTAGAACATAATTGCCCCCACTTCTAACTTGTCCCTGCCCTTTCCTGGTCTAACGCTATACCACCTTGTCCTCCTGCTCAATCCCCTCATCCTTCTTCACACCAATCTATCCTAGGTCTAGCCTCATTTTTTTCAAACAAGGAGATTCCCCCCAAATTATTGCATAAACTGTGATTTCACTGCAGCAATGAAAAATCAAGGTTGGCTAATGTTCCAATTTGACAGCTTTCAAGAGAGGAACACTAAACATAAGATTATGCGGTCTGTACTTATATAGGATTTGTAGGCAATAGAACTCAAGAACCATGAAGGATAAATCCTGACAAGCCTATGGACTCCCAAATTCACAAACGGCACCAAAGCTTATAGTTTCTCTGATGAAATGCAGTGACATGTAATTCTAGGAGGGTCACTGTGTCTGACAGCACAAGGCTAGACTGAAAAGCTGAGGTTGGGGTCTGCGAGATACACCGAATGGCTAAATATTTTACTTCTGCCCCAGCCTCTCAGTCTGCATGGTTCAAATCCACGCTTTAGTAAAACTGTTATCTGCTCCACGTCATGATCTTTCTGGGTCATTTCTGAAAACTGAAGAGTGTGAGTGTTAAAGCTGTAACTGCTGTAGGTCTCCAGAGGCCTGACCTTCATTCTGCCAAAGCCTAATCCTATGGGTCTCTATATGCTGCTGTGATCTGGAAAAGATAGCAATTACAAATTTCAGCTGTGAGGAATAGAGGATTGGACTTTCCTAAACCAGAAAGTTCTATTCACTCAACTCAGACAGGCTTTAGAAGTATGCTGTCCCACATGGTGGTGACTAGCCATATGTGGCTATTGAGTACTTGAAATGAAGCTGATCTAAACTTGAGATGTGTTGTAAATGTAAAAAAAGAGCCTTAATATAAAAAAAGGATGTAAACTATCTCATTAAAAAATATTGAGCATGTGGTTGAAATGATAGTACTTTGGATATACTGGGTTAAATAAAACATATTACTAAAACTAGTGTCACCTATTTCTTTTTTATTTTTACTTTTTTTTTAAATGTGGCTCCTAGAAAATTTAAAATTACATGTATGGCTTGCATTTGTGGCTCATATTCTATTTCTGTTGGACAGTGCTGCATTACACAAAATCTAACAGCTTCTTTAAGGGTTTGCTTCTAGAGAAAGGATGAACATGCTAAAGGTTTGGTTTGAGGTATCCTTTTTAAAAATTAGATTCTCCTTTAGACATCTCATCAGTTAGAGCAGAGTAGAAGGATCGGCAAACAAGAAGCACACCTCCAGCTACAGTTCTGCCCAACTCAGCAGCATAAACTTTTGTGGGCCTCAGGGTCTCTCCTGGAAGGCAGCAGCTATGCACAGCATCAAGGGTCCCATTGCCTCCAATAACTTCACTGTCCTTTACTTATTTGACTTTACTGTCTTTAATTCATTTTTAGTATCTTCAAATAATACAGAAAAAAAAAAAAAAAACTTACAGGTTTTGAGATGGTGAATCCGCTGCTGGAATGCACAGGTACTTAACCCCCTGTAGAATGATAAAAAATAAAATAAAATAAAAGATGATATCCAGTACAGAAAAATATTTAAAGGAACTATTTATTCAGATCAAAAAAATAAAAAATAAAAAGGAGAAGTTTTTTTACTCATCTTTTGTTGCCAAGGAACGAAGAAAAACTCTTTAATTAAGGTTCCTGGTTATTTTCTGTGGTCATGTGTACAAATATTCATGTTCTAGGTTGGAAACAGCTTGTAAACAGGGTACATCAAAAGAGTAAAATAATTGAGTACTTTCTGGTAAGTGTCAACAATTTTCAGAACTATCATCTCAGATGCCTGTTCATATATTCCACATTTTTTAAAAATCTATTTCACTTAGAATCCAGTGTTATTAAAAACCTTAACATGATGACTAAAAACTATAACGTTACAGTTTTCTATATTAAATTTTAGTATGAGGAGAATTACAGTTTCACTGGTGCACTTGATAGGAGCTTTTATACATCGAAAACAATTTTCAGAGGAGTAAAGTTTTGTGTACTAAACTAAGTTTTTTTAAAATAATGGACAGTTCTAAAAAACAAACTTCATATAGTTCTCTAAAAAAATCTATAAAAATGTTAATGTAAATTTATGCTGCACAAAAATGCTAAATGAGTTTTATTAAAGATCTGCTTGTTTCTTCAAAAGGGCTTAAAGTATAGTTTAAAAGGTCTTCAATGTCAAGTGAAAGTACAAAATCTAGAAACCTCTGCAAAAGAATATGGCTTCATGAAAACTAAGAGGAACCATTTTTGATCCCTTCTTCTCTTGATAGCCTACTCTCATAGAGTCTTGCCACCATGTCATGAATAAGTATGTGAGTGTGTGTATGTGTACATATCAGAAAACAGAAAAAAAAAAAAAACTGAAGAGAGTCATAAAATAACATCCAGAATTTTTTGAATTTTTTTGTAGTTGATCATTAAAATTTTACTGTTAACTCCTATCATTAGGAATTTCTGTGTTGTATGTGCTAATGTAGTCTTGTAAGGAACATCTAAATTTGTAGCTGCCCCAAACCCTGGCACAGATCCACATTTTGATACTTCCCCACAAGTGAATCCTACTTTCCCAATACACAATCCACACAAACCACATTTCTCAATCTCCTTTGCTATTAGGGTACAAACTCAGGACCTGGTTTCATCATCTGACACACTTACATGAGCTAGATTTGGAAACAGGACATAGAAAGAGTCAGATGGGCTAAGAACACCTGCTTTGCAGGTGCAGGTGGCGGCAGTGTGGTAGCAGATCTTACTGAGCCAGTTCTGTGATGTGGTCTGGGTGTTGTTCCTGGAACCTCAGATGAAATCCTGTTTCTCCAGTTCCTCTGAGGAGACCAAAAAGCTCTCAACAAACTCATTGCTGCTGAAAGTGGCTCAGAGTAAAACCTGTTGTCTGTAACTAAGACATGAGTGATACAATTCCCCCTAATGTCTCCCACTATTTTGAGAGGTTGGAAAACATTTTTTTCCTTAGTTCTTATTTACATATATATATATTTTTCCAGCTTGAGTCAATCATTACATCTTCTAACGAAGGCTCCTTTGAGTCTTGAAGATGATGAATTTTACCGTTGCTTATCCATACAGAACACTTCACATAAAACCAAACAGGCTTTAATATGCCAAAGGTAAAATTTAAGGCTCAGCTGCTAGAAAAAAGTGAAGCAGCAGATTCTTCCTCTTTCAAGTCTCGCTTCATCATCCCTAACTGCCTCCTTCTGTCTGTACTCATTTTTCCTGGACTCTGGGCACTGTGCTCTGTCAGAAACATCAAGGCAGTTGTCTGAAGTTCTAAAGAACCTCCAAACTCACAGAGGTATTAGAGCAGTGGTTTAAAGGGAAATAAAATGGAAAAGAAAATGATACTGTAAAAAAATAAAGGCATTTCACTCCTTTCCTCCATCGAGGCCAAACAAGCTTGTTGGTATAGAGAGACACACACTGATCATTTCATACATCCACCATTGAAATGACTCATTGACTTTTTTCTTTTACACTTAAATGAGACTTGGCTGTGGGTCAGGGCCCAGAAGCTTGTGAAATTTTTTCCTCCCACACACTTCCTCACCTCTTTCAGATTAATACTTCCAGAGGGATATTTAGGTTTCTACCTTCCCCTCCATTGTGATCATCAGTTTGAGCAACATAAATTAATCAAGGATGCTGAGGTGGATCCCCTCTAAGATAGGATGAAAATGCCTGCCTGTCACACACACTGAGTGACAGTCACTTAATTTTAAAGTAGCAGAATCTAAAGTCAGTCCAGCCCATATATTGGGAAGAAAGAAAAAACAAAACAAAACAAAAAAACGGAGAAAAGGAAGAGAATGGTCAGAAGGGGAGGCTAAAAAGCTCTTAGCTGATTAAAAGAATTCATGATAAACGTCAACAGCGGTGCAGTTAGAAAGCACTGTGCTTCCTTTAAGAGTCCCCCAAATGGGGTCACATTCACCTTCACGGTGCCTAATGCTCAAAAGGAAAGGAGGCCAGCCCTATAGGGCAGAAAGATGGTAAAGGGTATCCCTCCCTTCCTGAGACAGAGGAGGAAGAGGCAACTTTGGTCCATGCTGGTCCCCTCACCCTCACTAGTGGGATGGGTGTGTGGCAGCTATAGCTTCCCATCTATAAAGCTTTTAAGGAAGAACAAAGTAGTTCCTGGTCACAAGTTCGGGGATCCTCTACAGTTAAGGCTGGACAGAGAAAGTATAAAACATAAGATTATGTCCTCTCAAAGATACAACACTAACTTTCTTTGGAATGGTGCCTGTCACATAAAGGTAGGCATTCACTAAATGTTTGTTGAATGATGAGAATAAGGTGAAAAACAATTAACATGGGAACACACTATAAGAATAGTGTAATGGAAGAAAAATATTGTAAAATGCCCATGTCTTATCCTGATGATCACGGAAACAAGAAAGCTGGACTTTCAGCCATTCCATGTGAGGGCACGTTGCACAAACATGCTCCAGACATCAGTCTCCCGCCTGTCTACTCCAATGGGATGTGCTAAGAAGCATCTCACTGTGATCTACAATAAGAAGGGAACAAATTATGCAAATGCAGTATAGAAAGGAGTCAAAACTGTCAAAAATCTTCAGCTGCTCACCGCCTAAGAACATGTATTTATCTTGGCTTAGTCATTAACAAAGCACAAGAAGTATCTCTCTTGGAGGCCACAGATTGTAGAACATAAAGTACTTGAAAAAAGGCTTCAGATGCCTGCACATGTGTATAACACATGGCAGTTAATTACTAATTCAGAAAGCAGCAAGAGTGCTGGCAGCATGAAGGATCTCAACGCTACCAGAAATCTGGATGAACTTAACTTATCCTAGGATTAACGGACTGGGTCCTGCAAATGTTTTGATGTGATGTGGAATAAATTTTTCATTTAATTGGACCTAAACAACAGACCATTCTCTAGTGCTGAAGTTTGTAGAGACAGAGATGAGGGACAGAATGTTTTTAGCTAAGTTATATAAAGTATAGCAAACCTAAAGTAAAGAAAAAAAATCTGAAAAAATTCCTAAGTTATAAAAATAGCAGGAGTGTTTCCTAAGTTATAAAAATAGCAGGAGCATTTGCTATGCATTATCTACTACTTCATACTACCTCAAATATTTTTTAAAAACCCATCAAACTAAAATTGGTTACCTTCTTTTTAAAATAAAATTATTACTAAATAAATAAAAATTCAGTAATTTCTATGATGTTTCAAAAAAGTGATTACCAGAAAGCCAATTAACATTAAACTTTTAAGGAGTTAATAAATGTCAAGTTACAGGCTTCAATTTAGATAGCTGAACCAAGACAGCACTGAAATATAAAAATAACTCAGTTAAAGGAAAGAGACTCAGACTGTGCTTTAAGACTGTTGTGATTTCTATGAGGGACAAAGAGCAGTCGATTTCTTCTGACAATATGGCATTTTGAATGGCTTAACATGTTCAGCAAATTGTACCAATACTGATAAGATGAGGACCACAGGGAGGGAAAAGGTAGAGAATTAAGAAAAAGCCTCTTATATACACTGACCACACACACTAAATATTCATAATACCAAGCAACACATCAATTAGTATGACATAATGTAAAAAGAAATTAGGAAAATACAGAAGAGTTATGTGAAATCTGCCAAAGAAAGTTTTTTGGATGAAGTTTTGGTATTGAGTTTTGAAAGAAACAATAGACATCACTTGGCTGAGAAAAGAGTTTAGAAAGTATCCCAGGGGCTCTTCTTGAACAAATGGTTAAAGTTTTCTAAGTGCACATTCTCAAAAGTTCTAATATTGTTCAGTTTTCTGTTTCAAAAAGCATAGTAACCACCAAAAGTAAGTTTTTGCCTTTCTTTGGGCCTGAAACTAAAGATACACCCAAAACGGTATGTAGGCAAGGACTTAAAAGTAGGGTGAAGATTCTGATTTCAGGACTAGTAAAGAGATCAAACTCTCGCTTGTTTCAAGTACAATTTCTAAAATTCACTGTTCTTTTCTTTCTGAAACATCATTAAGTAAGAGTCTTCTTAAGAACCTAGTTGACATTCTACTTTTCGAAAGATAAGGCCCTTCAGAATCTGTTTTATCTCTCCCAGAAAAGCTAACAAAAACCAGTTATGGAGTACAATTATATTCTCTGCAACAACCTATTCGAAATCTAAGAGAAAATATAAGTAGAAGAAGGTGGTGCTCGCTAAGGGTCCAGAGTCCGGAAATTTCTGCAGTGGAAGAGTTATTTTAGTTGCTAATAAAATTGACATGCTTAGAAATCTTGGTTTTTCATCTTATCCCAGTACCACTTAGCAACATAGGAGGGGACTCTTCTATACAGATGATATATATTTTTTTGAAAATCACATTTACAAAGTATCAGGATAGCATGCCGAACTGGATTTTGCAGTTCCTAAACAGTGAACTTTTTATTAACAATGATCATCTAACACCCATTAACAAGTTGAGTGAAATAAACTGGGGACCCT